TTTTACAACACGTCGGTTCCCACAAATTCCCAACCCGAAAATTCGGGTTGGTCCCAAAAACACCCCCAACCCGACCCTACCCAACCCGTGAACACCCCTACCCCAAATATCCTGGGAAAACTGGCAATGCCATAAGATGCGATCAAGATCCTCCGAATCCTGCTTGCAAAGAACACACCATTGTGACACCAAACAAGAAGAAGACCACCTCTGAATATGATCCAAGGTGTTAACCTTTCCAAGACCTATCACACAAAAAACCTATCTTCTTTTGAATTTTCCCTTTCCAAAGCAAGACAAACACCAGGGCAGCGGGGGAGTGTCAGGGGAACACAAAAGCTTAAAAAATGAACTACAACAAAAACCCCTAAAGGAACTAGGGGACCAGACTCGAAAATTCTTCCCATCACAAAAGAAAGGAGCATCAGAGAGCATATGAACCAACTCAGCCACTTCCAAGACTGTCTGTCAGTCAAAGACCGATTGAGGCTTAAGGAAATAGACAACCCTTCCCCCTTAAAATCTAGACGGAGGCCACCAAATGCAACCTCCTATCCAAGAAAAGAAAAAGACGAGGGAATAAAGAACAAAAAGGGTTTTCACCCACTCAAAGGTCTTTCCGAAAATAGGTCTCATGACCATCCCCAACTACACAAGACAAAAATTGGGAGGAGAAAGGAAAACCAGAGGAGATCGCCTTCCAAGGGTTATTAGCACAAACCTTAAACCCTCCGTCTTGGGCCCAGTCAAAAGGGTGCAGCTCATACTTACTCACGATAATCCTCTGCATAAAGCATTAGGCTCTTGGAAGAACTGCCACAACCATTTAGCCAAAAGGACATCATTTTTACGTCTCAAATTCCCAATGCCCAAACCTCCTACTGCACAGCATAGAAACAACCCCCAATTAACTAAGTGAACTCCACCCCATTCGTCAACCCCCTCCCCCAAAGGAAGTCTCTCATGATTTTTTCGAGCACTTATAAACTGCCACAGGGGCTTTAATAAGAGAGAGGTAGTACGTAGGGGTGAGCATCGGTCGGTCGGGGTCGGTTTTTGGCCGACCTTGACGCCGAAAACCGACTTAGTCGGTTTCGGTCAGTCGGAAACTTTCTTTTTTCTGTCTCTGTACAAACCGACCGTTTAACCAACTGTTCGGTCGGTCGGTTTGGTCGGTTTCTAGAATGTACTAAATTCGAAACTAAAAAGGTTCTAAATGAGTGGTTTTGTGACTAAAATACAGGGGAGATCTAATGAAGAAAGAAAGTGAAGAAAGGGTAGAGAGGAAGAACATGGAAGAAGAAAGAAAGAGAAGAAAGGGTAGAGAGGAAGAACATGGAAGAAGAAAGAAAGAGAAGAAAGAGTAGAGAGGAAGACATGGAAGAAAGAAAAGAAAGACGGAGAGAGAAAACGAAAAAGAAAAGAAGGAATGGGTCATGGGATAAGAAAGAGCGAGAAAGTAAAAAATAGGATAACAATGAAGGGCTATTGAAAAGCCACGTAGGTGGGAAGAAAAAATGGTAAAAAGGTAAAATATAATAATAATAAATATATATATATAAAATAAATATATATAATTATATATATATAAAAAACTCACGTGAATCATGTGAAACATAATTTTTTAATTTTACATTTTCTCACGCACGTGGCTCTCTATTAGCCATCCATTTTTGTTCTCTTTCTTTTCAACTTCTTTCTCCTCTCTTTTTTCCCTCTCTTCTTTTTTTGTTCTCCTACGTTCTCTCTTTTCTTCTCTTTACTTCTTTCTTCTTTTTCACTCGGTTAATCATTTATCCTCTTCTTCCTCTCTCGCAGCTCTCTCTCATGGAAGAAATTTTAGATTTTTTCTTTTTTTTTTTCAAAAGTTGGTTGGTCGGTCGGTCGGTTCTTGTGATATTGGAAGAGCCGACCGACACCGACCGATTCGTCCTTTAAACCGACCGATCGACATCGGTTCGGTCGGTTTTAGTCGGTCGAATCGGTTTTTCGGGTTCGTTTTCTCACCCCTAGTAGTACGTCGGAATCCCACTTAAAGCTGCCCAAATAAGCGTTTATCTTCCTCCTTTAGGAAAAAAAAACCTTTTTTCCACTAGGAAAGACACTTCTAGATGATCCAACACTGGGGCCCAAAAGGGAAGAGTCTTAGGATTATGCCCCAAAGGAAGTCCCAAATAGGATGTCAGGAAAACACTCCCTTCGCACCCTACCAAGGGAGCCCAATGTAGAAGTTTGGCAGCATCACAATTAATACCCAAAAGCAAACTCTTGCCTCTATTAATCTTGAGCCTTGAGCTAGCCTCAAAAAACGATAACAGGATGTTAAAGTTACTAAAAGAGTCTTCCTTCCTCGAACAAAAGAAGAGAGTATCATCAGCAAACTGAAGATGGGAAAGATTTGTCCCGTCTCTTCCCACAACAAAACCCTCTAAAACCCCCTTGACCACACCTAAAGAAACCAAAATCCAACTGTTTGATATAAAATTATTAGGACGTTAACATTAAAAGCTCCTAACCTACTGATCTTTCCAAAAATCCGGCTGTTGGATTAATTCCTTATTAGTGTCGAGGCATCCTTTCAAGACAACTGATTCCTTTTCAGATATTAAATGTGGCTCTTCAGTCCCCGTAGAGATGGCAACATAGCGGAGCGGGGCGGAGCCTATGGGGCCATTCTCATCCCCGCCCCATTGGGGATTTTTTCCCCATCCCTGCCCCGTCCCCGAAATTTTGGGGTGGGGACGGGGCGAGGATTCCCCGATCGAGGACAAGTTCCCCAATATTTTTTATATTTGCAATTTTAATTATTAATTTTTTTAATTAATTTTTGTTATTACTAGTATAAAAAGTGAACAAAAAGTAGCTAAATGGGATATTAGCTTGGGTTTTAAAAAAGTTAAAAAGTATTTATAAAATTAATATTATATTAATATTATTATATAAAAAAATAGAAAAAGTAATAAAATATTAACGGGGCGGGGACGGGGGGAGCTCCCCTCCCGTCCCCCTCGAGGACCCTGATTGGGATCCCCGGTTTGACCCCGTCCCTGGGACGAGGATTCCCCGACCCGATCAGGTCAGGTACCCGCAGGGATCGAGTCCCGCAAGTTTTTTTGCCATCCCAAGTGTCCAATGTGCGATCTTTGAGGAAGAAACCCTTCTTAGCTTCTTTAAAAATCGTGCTTGCATGCACATTAATGAGGTTGTCTGGAATCCCTTTGGATTGCTTAACCGCATTCACATTAGGCGAGAAACATTCAATGGATTGCTTGCCCTGCACCTTGTGGTCAGCTGAGAGACTGCATGTGATCTCCGTTTAATATGCTGGTAGTTGGAGGGCATTCATATCTATAAATAAAGGGCCTAACAAAGGGCCTAACAAGAGAAGACTTTTCATCTTCCAGAATTTCTAGAATTCAATTGGAGTCAAAAGAATTAGGAAAATTCTTAGGATCCAGATCTTCAAACAACCAAATCTTCCTCAATGGAAACCCTGCCCTCAAACTTGATAATCTTATTGTGAAGGAATTAAATTTTGGATAAAAAATCTCTATGAAAGCGGCCAGAAAACCTAGGCAATTCTGTTGAACTTGGATGTAAGTCGTAGAAGAATCATAGAGATTTAAAGACTTTGAAGAAATACTCATCAGACCTCCTCAATGACTTTCAATAGCCTCAAAGGCTTGTCTTGTACAAAATTCAAGAGTTAAGTCTATCACTTTAATCCAACCTCCATAGCCAAAAACCACATCCTTCTTGCTAATTCCATCCCTCTAACTTAAAATGACCAATTTTCTTCCACTTCCAAAATAGCTCCTTTTTACTTAGCATTCTACCATCTTCCAGTTTCATTAATGCTTTATCAATTATAAAGGGATTGAGAAAGCATTTTTGAGAAAACCGATCACCAATTGAATATTTATTAAGCTACCAAAAATTCTACATTGCATGTTGAGACATATACCCATTTTCTCTTAACATGTATATATATAGATTTGCTACCATTGGGATTAGTAACATTAATATAAAATGGGCAACAGAGTAAAAGGAAGAAAGACGTTTAAATCAGAAAAGATCTCTTAACATGTACTAATGAAAGCATATTAGCGGAACAATCTCAACTGGATACTGGGGATTTGAACTTGTGCTTGTGCCTATTCTGGATCAAACCTCACAATAGGTAAAATAGGTTGTGTGGATAAAGAAACCTATTTTCTTCTACTAAATACAATAATTCCAATGAACCAAGCAATGTAGAGGGGATTTGGGCTATAAAGCTCAACTGAAATATTAGAGCTTTAGGAACAAAGAGTGTTACGCCTCTTTATATTTTATAATGGTATGATATTATCCACTTTGGGCTCACTAGAACTACCAAGTAAATAAACTAATAAAAATTCAAGATAAATATTCAATATGATGTGATCTAACGTTAAATTTAGAATTTTAGTAACAGAAAAACACAAGAGGTAAGCAGACACGAGACCCATTCCAGCAATAAAATAATAATAATAAAACACACTTAAAAATTGGAGTTGATGCAAAAACTAGATAAACCATGAAGAGAAGAAAGTATTTTGCATGTAGCAGCCATGTTGAGGTAAGTGGCATGAGGCATGGCATTTTTGGGCAATAGTGCCTTGAAGGCATCCATGGCGAGCGGCTTCAACATGGTGCTAGCCATGGTGCACCATAGCCATAAGGCAAGGTGAGCGCCATAGTGAAGTCGAGCGAAATAATGGCCTAATGGGCCCTTTTTAAATATCTTTTAAGGCTTTGAAATCCACAAGGCAGTTAAAAAAAAGAATTCTATTTTAATCCCACGAAAGTATCAGAAAATGAGGCTAGCCAAAAGAAACCCACGAAAACCATACCCACCCCATTGAAACCAACTGAAGCAAAATGTAGCACAAACTCAATTTTAGACCAAAAATATAAATATATTTAGATAAAGAGAAATAACATAAATGAACCAACCAGCATAATCCTAAATGGGTTACCTTTGAATAAACCTCAACAATGCCAGTCTTTTCCTGAAAAGCTTGCATCGCCAATCTTTCTGCATTCTTTGTCTCCTCCCTAGCTGATTTCTTCTCCTCCAATGCCCTCTTTTAAGTAGAAGAGAAAATTGAACTCATTATTTATTGAGAAAATTTTTCAAAAAGCACCTAGTGCACTGTTATCAAACATAGGGAAAATTTCACAAATCACCTCTATACTATAGGAGTTATTTACAATTATAACCTCGAATTTTTATTTGATCGGTTAACCCTTGCACTTCATAAAGTGTTTCTTATTACGTGTCTTAATCTATGTTCTTACTTGCTCAATCATAACTCCAGCCCTAACTTTGACCTCAACCTTAATTTTCTTAAATTATTACAATGTATTTTATAACTGCTATCAGATTGATAGGGAATTCATTGTTAAGGTAGGAAACGGTGCATCCACTCTTTTGGACTGGCCATTGGGCGGGTTCGGAACCTCTCTATCGTTCCTTGCCTCTTTTCTTAGAGTTGTCTACAAAGAAAGAAGCTTCTATCCAATATCTTTAAAATACATCCAATCAGCTGGAATCTTACTCCAAGGAGATGGCTCAAAGAAGCAGAAATCACAGAATGGGCCTCTCTCCCATCTATTGACCGCTCACCAGTCCTCACATAGGGATAATCACAGAATGGGCCTCTCTCCCATCTATTGACCGCTCACCAGTCCTCACATAGGGATGATCATTGATATGAACGCAAACAATAGTGGATTCTTTTCCAAAAAATCTCTCGCTACAACTTGCCTCCCATGGTTCAAAAGCAAATCTAATCATCTACCAAGAAATTTGTAAAGGAACCAAAAAATTTTTAAGTTATTCTTATGGGAACTGAGCCGCCATTGCGTCAACACTCATGATAAACTGCAAAGAAGAATCCCTTGGCTTTTCATCTCTCCAGGATGGTGTCCCTTATGTGAAAAAGATTCTTTTGGGAACACATTGTATTCACTTTTCGTTGGTCTACACGACTCCAGGGGATCCTTTCTCATCATTAGCTATGGTTCTAACCGGACATCCATTTAAGAAAAGTGAACTTTGTGGATCAACATCATCAAACCCTTCTTGTGGTCAACATGGACAGTGAGAAACTACCATTTATCTTTTTAAGACAAGGAGATAAGCTATGATAGCTTCTTAGACACTTTTCTTTTTGGCGTTGTCTTGGTGTAAATTACATCTGATTTCCATAGTTATGATCTATCTTCACTCACTTCCTAATGGAAAGGTTTTTTGTAACTTCCCTTGGATAGGGGTCTTCCCCTCTTTTTTTAACTTCATACCATCTATGAAATCAAATGTTTCTTATCGAAAAAACAATGGATTCTATATCCTTTTCGCAAGTTTGATCATGGCTCTGACCCAACCCCAACTCAAAGTTTTTTTTAATTTATTATTATGTATACCATGTACCTATCCCAATCCCACCCAACATTGACCACAACAATAGCCTTTAGCTCAAATTATGAATATACCCATCCCCTTATCTCAAGCAATTTTCTTGATCCATAGAAGGTTAGTTAGGCTTAGGACACAATTAACACTCTTCATTCGAGTTTAAAAGACTCCCAACATAATTGTGACGAGTAACTATTTCAATTTTTCCAATGTACCCGTTCTCCACTAGTTGTCATTGTCCAAACCACCAACTTAACAGCGAGACTTTAACTAATCAATTAATTAATAATTTTTTAAAACTTTATTTTGATAATTTAACAATTTTATTTTAAACAATATATAACTCATCAAAATTCAAATATATCTTATATTCTCCAAACATTAATGACCATTTCATACTTAGTATTTTAATAATTTAATTTAAAATAATCTTCTAATAGTTGATATAATTGTTTTTAATTTTTTAGTCTAAAAAGAATTTGATAAGAAATAGTTTCATTGATGTATGAAAAATTGATGTATGAAAAATTCAAAAAGGAGGGAAACAACCTCAGTCCAAAGGAGTTGCATAAAACTTCTTGGATAAAAACAAAGAAAATTTATGATGGTGAAAAAGGGGTGTAGTGTTAATTTACACCAAGAGATGCCAAATACACTATGTAATTTAAAAAATAACAATAATAATAATAATAAATAAATAAATAATCTTATCATATAGTTGCTTTTTGTCACAAAATAACCTATGATTTTTTAATCTAAAATTTAAATTCAACTATAACATCTTTTGCCAACCTGAACATAGTTCAATTGGTTAAGTCATATATCCTCGACCGAAAGGTAGTGGGTTTGAATTCTCTCCCCCACATGTTGTACTATAAGAATATTGTAACATCTTTTATTGTTTACTCTTACAGTTTAGTTTTGGTATTTGCATTTTCCAATCAATTATTATTAGGGAGTCATAATGGAAAGGTTTAATTGCAACGGTGTTGTAAGTTTGAGGCGTAAATTGCTTAAATTAAAAGTCTCAAGGTCCAAAACTCCTATAGTTTAGGAACGATTTTTATATTTTTACCTAAAATATAAGACCACATGAAATATAAACAAAGTAAAAAGTTTAACGTAGCACTAACATCTAAATTTTGTTATTCAGTTAATGCCATATGACAATGATGCATCACACTGTTGATACCTAATTATATAGTATTGGCCATTGGTTGTGTACGTCTGCCATATTTATATAAGGAGAATATAAACATTATTTCTGTTAAGAAAATGGGGGTATAAAGAACATAGAACCAAGGGAAAATACCTGCAACTTATCTGGCGATTGAACAATTTTTGAACGCAAATTTGCATTTTCTTGGACACTTTGTACCAAGAGAAATTCTGCGTTAGAAATCTGAAAATATACAAAAGAAAACCATGAGGACATGGCAAAAAAAAAAAATTTTGTAGCAAAGAAACAAAATTTTCATTTAATGAAATTAAAAATTAAAAAGATAGAAACAAAAGATCCTAAATAAGGATCATAGTCGATCCAACCTAAAGCCTAGAAAAACACAAGAACTCAAAATCCAACTCAAAAAACCAAAACAATCTCAAACAAAGACAGCCAGAAAAAAAGAGTATCCACACATTACTTACACTAACAGACACTTGACACCCTAACAAAATAACTTTTAACAAAAAGCTAGGCATCGTCTGGAACTCTAGCCACCATGATTAATCACTCGCTTAAGGTTTCATAAAGAACAACATCTTCAAAGCCACAAACCAAAAGCATCATCTTCTATTAAAGACCAGCAACAAGAAAAGCAAAACCAGAAGCACACAACTCTTGCTACAGTTTCAGTAACCTTTTTATTACAAACGACCTTTCCTTTCCACTTGAGATATAATCCAGAAATGTTTCAGATTTCAAAACTCCAAAGAAAGTTATAACTAGCCTCTTTTTATCTACTTTTCTCTAACCTTCTTTTTTTCTTTTCTTTTCTTTTTTCCTCTCTCCTCTCTTTTCTTACTCTACAACTTTCTTCTCTTTTTTCTTCATCTTCTTTTTCCCTTTTTCTCTTTTTACCAGAATAACCATAATTTTATCTTAAATTAGTCTCCAACTACTTGAAGAAAAAAACAAGAGCAATACCATCTTTATTTGAGAAGCCTCACTCACTGAATATAGATGAATCTATATCCAGAGAACCTTATACCATATAGTCCTTCTCCTTAAACAAAGAAAACAGTGTTACAACTTCAAAAACTTATACACCAATTTCCTTTAACGGCATCTGATAGCCATTGAGCAGCCTTTACTAAGAACTTGTACAAAATATTAACTACAAAGCAAATAAAGGAAAACCAAGAAACGTAAATCTCCAAACGAGAGTAATATATAAAATAATTGGAGGACACACATCAGATGAGAATAATTGAACAAGTCACACCATTCATCTCTTTGTTGGAGATCTTTACTTAGCTTTCCTTAACTGTTTTGGCAGAGAAACAAAGAATTACAGCAAGATATATCTCAAAACTAGAGTAATTGCTAAAACTTTTGGAAAGACCACACCAAGAGAAGAGACTGCTACTAGTTTAACAAAATCAAGTCTCTCAAACCACTCTAACCGTTTTTCATTGAAGATTTCAAGATTCTTAAATTTTTTTTCATACACCACATCATGGCTTTGACTGCACTAATCCACATTATCTTTGCTTTTGTTCTCGAACCACAACCTTCCAACAAAGACTAAAGATTCTTTGCTGCACCAACCTTGAAGACCCACAAAAGACCAAATTATTTGAGTAAAGCTGCCAAATCTTACAACTATATTGACAATGAAGAAAAGGTGGCTGATATCTTCTTCCTTCTTCAAACAAAGAACACACTTATTTAGCCTCAAACCACTCTAACCTTTTCTCATTGAAGATTCTTAATTCTTTTCATACGCTACATCATGGCTTTGACTGCATTAATCCACATTATCCCTGCTTTTGTGCTCAAACCACAACCTTCCAACAAAGACTCAAGATCTTTGCTGCACCAACCTTGAAGACCCACAAAAACCAAATTCTTGGAGTATTTCTTTTGACACGGCTCCTTGTATAACAATCTAGGACAATGCACAACAAAAGTTTAATAGTAAAAGTAACAACAATAAAAGACTTTTCAAAAATCGCGAGTCAAAAATATAATTACATCAACAAATATATTTTTTTTAGATGAAAAAAGCCCACACAAAAAGGACCAAACAAAAGTAGGGGCACAAAAGCAAATTACAAGAAAGGCCACCAGTTTTTGGTAATATAAAATAAAAGATCATTTCAAAAAGTATAGAGTTATGAGTACAAAGGAAACCATCATAGTTGGTTCATTGGTCCAAAGGGGCTAGGGTTAATTAAGTGGGAATGGGTTCAAACCCCATGATGGCTCCTCCTATCTTAGGAATTAATTCCTATGTGTTTTCCAGCACCAAATGTTGTAGGGTCAGGCGGCTACCATGGGAGATTAGTCGASGTGCGCACAAGCGAGCTCGAACACTCACGGATATCAAAAAAAAAAAAAGGTTGAGTACAAAGGGAGGCATTAAAGTGAATCAACCTTCCACTTCTTCTCGGGACCCATCTAACCCCATAAATGTTCTCCTATTTGTTTCCAGCTAAATAAATCACAAAACAAGAAAGAAGCTAAATTGCCAAAGCATATGGCTTGTCCCCCAAAATGGAGGATCTAAAACGACTCCCCCATTATCCCTCAAATGCTCAACCTCATATAAAGAGATATCAAAACTCTATAATAGACAACCTGACACTATGGAAGCAAAAAGGCATGACCACAAATGATGAAACCACACCAAGACAAGACACACAAGTTTGGATCAAGAACAAAAGTGGAAACTCTCAGCAAAAATTCTTTTACTAATCCTCCCAAAGGCTATTTGAATCCTTTCATTTCTCTTAGTGAAAGTTTTGTTTCTCATTTTTGTATAAAAAGAAAAAGATCCTTTACAGGGCAACGAGCTCATAAATTAATTGAACCTTCTTCAAGCTTTTATTCTCGCCCCCCTCGGCACGAACCTAAACCAAACAAAGCTTCCACACACACACACACACAACCAAAAGAAAAAAAAACAAACAAACAAACATCTTAGGAGATGACGGTAAAAAGATTTACAAAACAAAAGAACCTGGTTCGAGAGGAATCATCGGGTCTTTAAAGGGATTGAATCTTGCTATCGGGATCTTTTGGTATTCTTTCTCTAAAGATTTTTAGGAATTATGAGTTCTTGCATATCTTTACCAATTGGGAATCCTTTTTGTAACTCATTGATCCTGTGAGAATCCTTTTTGTAAACCATTGATCTTGCGAGGGTACCTCATCTTCCCTTTTTTTTATGGGTCCATTTCAGTTTCAAGAAACATAAATATATATATATATATATATATATATATATAGAGAGAGAGAGAGAGAGAGAGAAATCTCTATCAAAAAGAACTTAAACCCCATGTTCAATCTTTCTACTCCTAAACTTTAAAAATAAAAAATAAGAAGAGGATTATCCACCCATAAAAAAAAAAACTCCCCTTCCTCATTAACTATCACCACATGTTTGTCACATGAACGAAAAAGCAATGGTGATTAAACTAGAGTCTAAACAATTATTATCCTCCTGTCTTATGAACATAAAAGTAAAATTACAGTTTTTAATGATCTAACCTTCTCATCCATTTCTCCAACTTTCTCTTTCAACTTCCTAATAGAAGCGCGCAATGACATCTGCTGATTGTTAAGGCCTCCAATTATCTGATGTAGTTCTTTCACTTTAGCATCAATATCTTGAACAAAGGGTATTTCCCTTTCTCTTGCTTCATTGTACTCTGCAATCTCTGCATTCAACTGTAACACACAAATTCAACCCAATGAAAAATATAATATATATCTACCCTTTTTCAAATAAAAAAGATAAGCTGAGATCTAAATACCTGAGAAATCTTAACCTCCCATTCTCTTTGCTGGTCACCAAGAGTATTCACTTCATTAATAATTGGTGCATGGAGAACTATTTTGGCATCTCTTCAAACGGAAATACAACAATGATAACTGATAAGCAACATATATTTATATATATTATGCTGCATTGTAGAGATTCTAAAAATGAAATTCATTCAAAAGACAATAAAAAGAAAAAACTATATATCCTTATCAAAGTAGCCAGCATGGAACTCCCTGTGTACTCAATAAGAAAATGGAGCTGTGTGATGTAACTACCAAGAAGAAATCATGACAGCATCTAAAATATAACAAATTGAAGTGATAAATTTTTATTATCTCGTCTGTCTGTTTATCTAATCATTATGAAGAAAACATGCCTACCATGACGGGCTAGAAAATTTATCAGATTTCGTAGACCAGTGCACAATGTCATTCAATTAAAAAACATCTCAATAAGCCAATAATAAAATTAACAACAAGCAAAATTATAAGCTGTGGCCTTCATTAGATATTATGTGATTAGCAAAACTTACATAAATACGGCAAACATGAGTAATAGTTAAATAATAAACTCATTTAATTTAGTTGTTTACTAAAAATTGTTATACGATTCATTAGAATCTCATTAATAAGCTTAGAATTGATTATAAAATACTTGGTTAATGCTACACGCTAAGTTAGCTAACTAACCCATGAAGACCTTATAAACCAAATTAATAATCTGTTACTCTAGTTTTTTTCATGTGTAAACAGCGAGAGAGAATGTGGAGGACGAGAAGAAGATAAAGGCCATACTTGTGAATGCAAAAGTTCAGCATTGTACTAAGGAAAATTTCAGTCCTATCTGTATCAGGTTTTATTAGATCTTTCAACGTAAACTTTTTTGAGCAGTCAAGAGAGGCAATGACATGCTTTAATTTGAGGTTCAGCTTCATTATCCGGACTGAATCCATATGCAGATCAGGGTTCTCAAGCTGATCTAAGGCAGCAAACTCAACTTGTCCCTGGTCTTCCCTGCACCAATATCCAACAACCATGAAACCTGACCTTTCTTAAAACGGATTCAAGCATAGAGCAATTAGAAGTTCATAGTTATGATACTTCATGGATCTAGAATGGAAAAAGAGTGAGGGAACTTCATGAACACATTGATAATGAAACTTGAGTTGTGCACGACATATCCACACCATAAATTTCATAGACGTCAAAATGTTGAAAAGAGGGAGCGATTGCTAACATACAAATAAACTTTTTCCTGTCTCTTTCCTTTGAAAACTTAGTACAAATACTTGTTAATGTAAAGGCTATGAACAGAGGAATTACTCATGGAGAAAGTCAAGGTAGATCAATAAACGTGTGTAAAGATCTGAAACCAGATCTGGTGAGGGGTGGAGGAGGTCCCCCTCTGTTACAGCAGCAATTTGAAACTGTGCAAGTAGCAACGCAATGTCTGCGGGCGGAAGCCTTAGCAATCCATACTTTGACATCGCCAATTATGTCTCTTCAATACCTAGAAATATAAAAATTCAGGATTAGAGCAAAAAAATTGCAGCAGCAATAGATAAGGAAGACCACACGATAAAAATTGACACCGGTCACTAAAGAATTCAAAATTGCGCGTGGATAAGGATAAATTCCCTCTACCAAGTAATTGAGGTGAGACTCCAGGTAAACTAAACAATAACCAACATGTACATCAAGCAGTCCATTAACAATATAGCAAGTGTAGTTTAAAAATTCAAAGCCAACCAAAAAACCAAGCAATTTATACATTCAAGAGCAAACATCCCCACAAGTAGGAGCTACTTACACCCAATTTCCTAATACGCTACTAAGCTCGCCTCAAGGTTCCTACTAACCCCACACTAAAACCTCTTGGGTTAGGAGTGGGTTGACGCCGAAGAGGTTCAGGCTTCCAAATCCACGCTTGCTGGTCCTAT